CCATTCTAAATAATTTGTTCCATCTAGTTTTACTGTAGTAATAATTCCAGACCCAAGAATATCATTACCACTTCCAACACCTAGTCCCATGGTACCGGTGGATTTCAGCTCGGTATTCCAATTCTCCATCTTACTTTAAACAGTTTGATAGACTTAAAGAAGATAGTTGAGAGCTTCCAAGAACAATTTTAAGAGACACGCACAGAAACAAACCCTTCCAAGAAAAGAAAAACCCTAACCGGAGAGAAATCTCTCTCCTTCCAACGTCTCCCAACAGAGAGAATACTAAAACGACCACTTCAGAAGGCCTAGAAAGGTCTAGAAAGCTAATCGTCCTCTATAGAATAATAAAAGAAATCAAACGATACCTGTGTGCCCAAGATCAAATCAAGAACAGAGAGTCCAACTTTTCTAGGACTCTTCCCCGTACTCCAGTTCCTCCTGATTTTGATGCCAAGATGAAGATCACCTTCCTGATGACTCGACCTCACCAAAAAATCCAAGAACTGGGCAATCAAAAGCATATCGATCAACCTCTTCTTACTTCATGCAATCGGCCAATCTATGGCTACATGAGAATGTTTCAAGAACCCTAAATCTTGCTCTGATACCAAGTAGAAATCTACTGAATTAAAAAATATATATATAAAAGAAAAGATTGTTTTCTTGAAGAGAGATGGAAGAGAGAAAGAGAAGAGGAGAATAAAAGATTTTGAGAAGTAAGAGAGCAATATTCTGGCTGCCCCCTTCACTTGTTATTTACAATAAAAAATATAATAGTTTGAATAGGACTCAAAAACATAATAAAATTTGGACTCACATAACTGTTGTGGTCCCCATTACCTATCTAAATCCTAACATAACGCAACTATTCTAAAATAATCACAAAAATCGTCCAAACTTCAACACCTCCTAAGCAGAAAGGACATATTCCATTTGAACTTTGGCAGAATAGAAATCCAACCTAAACTACTTGAAAGTTTGGGATTGTTTAGTAAACATTAGGACACTTGAACCTAAAAGAAAGAAACTAGGACCTAAAACATGTGACTGTTTGTTTGTTGGATATGCACAATATAATGTAGCCTATAGATTTCTTGTAAGTAGAACAATAGAAAATATTGTAGAATACAATACAATGATTGAGTCTTGGGATATAGGATTCTTTGAGCATATTTTCCCATTAAAAAGGGAAAAAATAAATAGGAAACCACCTCAAGTTTGTAGTAGAAACCAAGAACAAGAATTAAATGCTCAAGACACCTAGTCTAGAAAATCTTGAATCTAGTAATCAAGAACCAGATTTTAGGATAAGTAAAAGACAAAGGAGAGAAACAAACATGGGTGATGGAATGCTCACTTTTTTGATGGACAAAGACCCACTAACATATCAAGAAGTAGTAAGCTCCCCTGATGCAATATTTAGGAAAGAAGTCATAAAAAGTGAAATAGATTATTTGATCACTAATCACACTTTGGAACTTGTAGATCTTCTACCTAGGACTAAGGCATTGCACTATAAATGGATATTTAAGAAGAAAGTAAAGACAAATTGCACAATAGATAAATTTAAGGTCAGATTAGTTACTAAGGCTTACAGACAAAAGAAAGATATAGATTTCTTTGATACATATTCCCTTATTGCAAGATTAACTACAATTAGAGTCTTATTAGTTATAGCATCCATATTCAAACCTATAATTCACCAAATGGATGCAAAAACAACATTCTTAAATGGATAATTAGAAGAAGAAATTTACATTAAGCAATTTAAAGGTTTTATAGTACGAAGACAAGAAAACAAAGTATGTAAAGTAATTAAGTCATTAAGTCATTATATGACTCAAAAATAACTTATATGTGCCTTATAAGCTGGCCTCATATAACATAAATAGGACCTCCATCCATTAATTACTTAGAGTCGTTAACAACTCAATAAAGATGCCTATTATGTTTTTTAAAATACCAATTTAACCTTATATTCTCAAAATGTTGGAATGACTTCTTTGTCTAAAACTAATTAACATTTTTTTCTGGTGATTAAAATCTCCTCTTTTTAATTCAACAAAATAGACACAAAGATTTTAAACTCATTACTCTGAAGAGGGGGAGTAACTAGGTAGAGAAAACCAAAGAAGTAATAGTGGAAGAGGTGACAACATGATGGCGGTAGGTATGGAAGAGGGTGATGGAAATGGCAGGAAGGGTTGGGGATATAGAGGTGGTGGTGGTTGTAGTTTGAAATCAAACAATAGACAATTATACTCTAGTGATGGTGGAAGTTGCTTCAGACGAAATAGGAAAGTGGCCATTTTTACCGAACAGAGAAGTAGGCAGGAATGTAGTGCTACTGTAGAGGTGAATGATGAGCGCTACTGTAGCACTACTAGTCTACTATAGAAAAGAAGGGAGAAAGAAGAAGAATTAACCCTTTAAAAAATAAAAAAATGGTCTTAAGTTGGGCCAATAAAATAGGGCAACAACAAGTGGACGTCTCGTAGTGGGTTATTTATTATCCTCACACCTTGAACGTTGGGGATGCAACTGGGTATGAGCCCTAAGATAGCGCAGGTTGCAATTTCCTAATTTCAAATGTATTCTAGCCAAGGTTTTAAATATCAATATGCCCGATATGTTGGTAGGGGCGTATCGGTGCTGTTTTTTTATTTTTTTTAATTTTTGTTTTTCAAATCCGGTTTAAGGGGACTGGTTTAAGGTTCCTCCACTCCCTGAACCGGTCAAAACTCCAATACACTCTCTATAGGAACATATCAGGGTGCTCCCGATACAATACATATCGGCCAATACGGACCGATACGTAATGATTTTTTGAACCTTGATTCTAACTTCTTCAAAATAATTTTAAATAGTTTCTAAACACTTATAAAAATTAATTGAAAAAACTTATGCCAATTTAGCTTAGGTGAAATTCAATTAATTAAACAAGTCAAAGAAATGCTTAAACAAGTAACCAGTGTTTACCGATTGAACTGAAACTTGTGCTGCCAATCTTCATTGTCCAATTTCCATCTCTGCCGAGTAATGTATAACTTGCCAATATGACCTTGGCTTCAAGTCTTGAGCATCAATCTAAGTATCAATACTTAACAAATTTTCAATAATCTAGTACTTTGTTATCATCAAAACTTAATGTTGACCTTAGATCAACACAAATAGCCAACAAAGTTTGAAGCCTCAGTGTCAAATGTGTGGTCGTTATGGTCATTTTGCTGACATGCTGGCATCACTTTGATAAGAGCGAAGATCTTCCTCAATCTCTTTCCAACTTGATCTTTCTAAAAGTGATAGAACTTTCTATGCTGATACAAGAGTTACTTCACACATGACTTCTAATTCAGGTATTCTCAAATACCTAAAAGTCAAGGTTCTAAATACAGACACGCGTCGATATATCGGTAGGACATATCGGCCTGTGTCGGTACATTTTTTCAGTTTTATTTATATATTTTTCGAAACTGGTTTAGAGGGGTCGGTTTAAGGGCCCAGCTACCCCTCTGACTTGATACAACCCCTGGAGGGGTGTATCAGTAAGCCATCTGCATGATATATATCGATACAAGGACTTGACTACCCTCACTCTAAAGTTTTGGAGACCTTAGTAAATAAAGCTTACATGTCAGTTATTGGATGCAACCTCGTAGACTGTGTTAGTTGTCAAATGGGGGAGAGTTGTAAATTGCCCTTTTCTAAAAATAATATTAAATACAAATTTCCTTTTCACAAAATTCATTTTGATTTATAGGGACCCTAGCAGTTCTGTCTTTCCAAAGGATCAATTTTTATGCTATTTTCATTGACGATTTTACACGATTTACTTGGTTCTTACCCTTGAAACACATATGATTTTTTCTTTTGCTTCCTAAAACTCCAACTATGTCCTTGTAATCAATTATTCATTTTGGGAACAAAATCAAAATTTTCCAATGTGATGGTAAAGTGAATTTTGTTTTCTTACTTTTATTAATCATGTTGATTACATCTTTGTCGAACAAAATGAGGTGGCAGAGAGGAACCACCGTTTACTTGTGAATCTATCGATGAGATATTAGGTTGAGGCTTTTTACATAGCCATTTACTCGATAAATTGTCTTCGTATTCCCTTGCTAGTCTGATCCTCTCCTTTTGAGAAGCTATAAGGAAGGCCACTAGATTACTCTTATCTAAGAATCTTAGGCTGCAGATGTGTCTCTTATCTAAGTGATCATGCACCTCAGAAGTTGCATGCAAGATCGTTTTAATGTATATTTCTTGGATGGTCCCTTTCTTAATGGGTATCCCTGCCTCAATCCAACAACTCAAAAGGTCTATTTATCTAAACGTGGTGTTTGATGAATCTCACCTTCCTTTTGCAGACAGAAATTCTAATTGTGATGGAATTATGGGGGAGTTACAAACTTACTCATCTATATATCAATGGCTTTCTCATGGGCATCAATCTGCTTTAGTGTTGCCTTCTGCGGATAATAAAAACACTACAACTACAACAGTCCCAGTCAAATCAAAAGTTAATTTTGATTGATGATGATGTTGCCCCTGAGATTAGTACAAGTGCTATCATGCCTCCTCGCCAAATGAACTCTTACAAGAATAACAGTAACGATTGGTTTTTTCTAACACATGCCTATAACAGAAATGTAGGAAGAAGGCGTATAGCAATTAGGCCACAATAGAGACAAGAAACAACAATGAACTGTTACAAAAAAAAAAAAAAATCTAAGGAAAAACAGGACGAAATAAACAAGAAAGAAATAACAATTAGAAATAAGGACAAAGAAAGAGATGAAAGGAATGTAACTAACAGATTTGAAGACATCATCATTGCCTTCAAGAGTCGAGCCTTAATACCATCTTGTAAAAAATAGGTAATTAAGGTAAAGAGAAGAAAGATGGAAGATAGAAGAGAAGATGCACAATTAGGTACTCTCACATCTCTATCAAATGAGAGAAATGCTTTAAAATTAAACTAGAAATGCCAAATTACAAAACAAACTCCTCACACGTCTGATATTATAACAATGTCCCTGAATATAATCTACTTCCTAAAATACCACCATTCTTAATCCATATTACATTCTGAATATTCCAACAATTGGGCGGTTATACATCTATTTTCCCACCTAATTCTGAAGAAGTTAACCCATCAAAAATATAAGTGGGCTAATCGTAATCTTGGCTACAGACCAAGATTACAATCATCTGATTGCATTCTTCGACAAATTAGTCACAACTTGTAGTCCATTTTCTGAAGCGATTACCACTGTGCAGCTGCAGTTTATCAAATAAAAAAGAAGAAATTTCTCAGAAATATCTTATTCAAGAGATGGGACATTAACACAACCAGGAAATAAACATTTTTCTCCTTGTAGCCATGTGTAAAGAGTGACTACAGAAATGTGATACATCCGTTTTTGAACTCTGAGGCATCTTAGCAGTTCAAAGTTAGTCCCACTAATATACACATGGATCTATCTATCTATCTATCTATCTACCTATCTATCTATCTATATATTTATCTATATATATATATATCAGTAAACTTTCTTCTCATATCCAGCATGGCGTAGAGATAAACTGAAGACTAGAGTTAAAAAGGGGATTGCAAAACTTACGGCACTCCAGATATGATTCCATGGTCCACAACCCCATCAATGTTATCCAGGCTCTCTCTTACTTCAGCTGCAATTAACACTTAAAATCTGTCTTAGGGATGCAGATAGGAGAAGCATACAATGGAGAAAGTATAAAAGAACACAATAGACAAGCAGTTCATACATATCTTGAATTTTATTAATTGGAAATAGTTCTGGATTTAAGTGAGAATTAACAAAAGATTCCGCAAAAGTAATGATGTACCTAGATTCTGTATGGGAGATGTAAAGAAGAGATCAAGAACATTATGTCCTTCTCTGGTGAATAATGGGAAATCACCTCCCAGTGGACCAGCATGACTTAAAGCTGGTCTCCTCCAAACCTTCAATTATTAAGGGCAAAAAAGAAAAAGAATTAGTACAACGAACTGAACTAGCAGTTGGCTTTGCATAACATCAAGCGTCCTCAATATTCAGTGATCATATGGTGCAACACACTGATCCTCATTGATGATGCTTTATTTATAAATGGATTGATACATTTGAAGGACCATTTATTATCAGATTAGTTTGATATCTTATTTTCCGTGGTTTCGATCTTTTTGGATAAAATAATCTTGCTAACTATGCTAAAATAAAATTGTACAAGCTTCAGAATTAGGCCACACGTATACTACTCAATTTCTCGTGTATCAGGTGAAGGTGTGCCGTGTAATCTCTGTTATTTTAGCAGAGGATCAAGAAAATATGAAAAGAAGCAGAAAAAAGGAGAAAAAAGAAGAAAGTTACATGGAACAGAAAAGAGTCTTCACTTATCTGATTGGAGCAAGGTTTATCTGAATGCTTTGGCTGTTCAGCAGGCTATGGAACCAATGATAAGGTTCCACACAATAAAATACATGGGGCCCACACCCTTTCACAGTGGGGCCCATGAATTTATTATTGGTGTGGAACCTCATCATTGGTTCCACAGGCTGCTGAACAGCCAAAGCGTTCAGCTAATCCGAATTCATCTGATTGACCATTTTTGTTTTTATTGAAAAAACTGAATACAGAATTACAAAACTACCCCTGTATATACACTACTAATAGCTAACCAATAAACCTTTGATAGAAAGATAGAAACACTCTCAAACTTTGGTAGTTGTCTAGAGAATATATTATATACTCAAAGATTGTTACATATAAAATCAACCCTCTAAATAAATCAGCCAATTGATTCTCACAAGCCACAAATGAAGTTGACACCTCTCCACTTAAAACTTCATATCAAATAAGTTGACTTCAATATGTTATGTTCTATTGTATAGAATTTGACACAATATAGACAACTACTAAGTCAACTTACACAATGTGTCTTCCATTGCTTTGTAATCAATTTTAACACTAGACCGGGCCCCCTACTACACTTCTTACTCTTCAAATTAACTAAATTTTCACCCAGTAAAATATTGTAAATTGTAGTGGAGTGCTTGTAGATGTGAATCAGTCCTCTAAAACTGATATAAACTTGGTAAAAATTAGAGAGAAAAGAAGGAGAAAAGTAGAGAACAACAGCACAAAGGAAGAAGATGGATAAAAGAAGAAGAAGAGTTCGAATAATCTCTTCCCTCCCTTATCTAATCCTTTTGTTAAACTTCAATCATTAGGCTAATTACAAGTATGCCCTTAAGTGGGCAGCCAGCTACGCAATAACATAAAGAGAACTTACAAAAAGAAATAACAGGCCCATAAAGGTAGGCCCATTAACTAACAAATAAATAAATAACATACTACAAGAAAAGATACTAGAGCCCATTCGGCCCAGTCTCTCTACACTCCCCCTCAAGCTAAGAATAGATGTCAATCATGCCCAGCTTGCTTATATAGTGTGTTAGCTTCCCTCTTGGAACTCCCTTGGTCAAAACATCAGCCAACTGTTATTCTAAGGCATTAAATGGCAAGCAAACTTCTCTTCATAGTTGTCAAGGCGCCGCTTAGGCTGGGCACCTCGCCCAAACGCCTTACTTTTAGCAACTAGGCGCCCTTCTAGGCGACTAAGCGCCCGCCTAGGTGACAAAAATGACAAGGCGGGCGTCTTTTATAATATCATTTATATTGTTGTATCTTATTAATGTATGTGTTAATACATTTTATTATATGCTATATATATCAATTATACTTTGTTTTAATGTTTTACTATTGAAATTTAAAAGATCAAAGGGTTTTGAGAAGAGAAAAAGAAAGAAAGAAAGAGCGGAATAATTAAGTTATTTTTTCTATTCTCTCTCTCTCTAATTAAATAAAATAGAAAATCCATCCTTGTTTTTTTTTTTTCTATTTTACTTTCCATCTTGAATATTTATCATATAAAGTTGATAACCATCTTTAGCTGTTAATTAATATGAATTTTCTCTATTAAATACTTATTATAGTAGTATTATTTTTGAAAATAATGAAATTAATATATGTAAAAGATTTTTATCTTTAGATGTGATGATTTGCCACATTTTTAGAGGAAANTAATATATGTAAAAGATTTTTATCTTTAGATGTGATGATTTGCCACATTTTTAGAGGAAATTTAATGTTCTTAATAAAGAGAATTGCTATTTTTTCAATTAACATACATGCTGAATGGTATATAAAACTAGGAAACTAGCCAAAAGTCAGATTTTTATATTATAAAATTTTTATCGCCTAGGCGTTACTAGGCAACTAGGCGCCCTATTGTCGCTCATAATCGCCTAGACGCCTTGAAAACTATGCTTCTCCTGAGGAAACTCTTTCCCGTATAAAATGTCTATAAACCTCGATGTGCTTAGTTCTATCATGTTGAACAGGATTATGTGCAATATTTATAGCTGTCTGGTTGTCATAGTAGAGCATCATTGGCTTCTCATAGTCAACCCCCAATTCTTCTAAAAGTGATCGTAGCCATAGTAATTCTGACACACCATGTGCCATTGCCCTGTATTATGCTTCAACAGAGGATCTGGCAACTACAAACTGTTTCTTACTCCTCCATGAAACAACATTCCCTACCACTAAAGCATAATAACCCGAGGTGTATATCCTACATCAATACATCCTGCCCAATCAACATCATTGTATGCTTCCAGCTTCATGTGTCCATGTTTGAAAAATAGAATACCTTTCCCTGGAGTACCTTTCAAGTAACACAGAATTCTTTCTGTAGTAGCTAAATGAGTATCTCTGGAAGAATGCATAAATTGACTAATAACAATCACTGCATAGGAAATGTCCAATCGAGTCATGCAGAGATATAACAACATCCCAAGCAGTCTCTGAAACACTCCCCTATTAGATAAAAGTTCATCTACAGAAAGCTTATGATTGGGATCAATAAGAGTGGAGGTTGGTTTTGTACCAAGTTTACCAGTCTCTGCAAGGAGGTCAAGGACATATATGCGTTGAGAAATGAAGATACCATCCGTAGATCTAGCAACTTCAATGCCCAAAAAATACTAGAGATCTCCTAAATCCTTGATCTCAAATTCAAAGTTAAGAAACCTTTTGAGTTTACTGACCTTCGGGGTGTCATTACCCGTGACCACAATATCATCAACATAAACTATCAGAAAGGCTACCAAAGAGCCACTTCTTTTCAAGAACAAGGTATGGTTAGATTGAGTTTGTGTGTAACCAAATGAGATAAGAGCAGCCCTGAATCTCTCAAACCAAGCCCGAGGGAACTGTTTGAGACCATAAATGGATTTCTACAGTTTACACATCTTCCCTTGCATTTCCTTTCCATACACTCCCGGAGGCAAAGACATATAGACCTCTTCATGTAAATCTCCATTCAAGAAGGCATTTATAACATCAAATTGGTGGAGAGGCCATTCAAAAGTAGCAATTAGGGACAACAAAACCCGGACTGAGGTCATCTTAGCCACAGGAGCAAAGGTCTCAAGATATTCAATACCATACATCTAAGTGTAGCCTTTAGCAACCAGCCTAGCCTTAAACCTCTCAATAGAGCCATCAAAATGATATTTAATGGCAAATACCCATTTACATGTTAGACAGTGTATGCCCTTAGCTCTAATCAGCATGATGTACATTATGACATTTATTGTAAATGAATAAAGTACATATTTGATTCATGTTATTGTGGGGTGTTTCTGTATAATATCCTTAAACTGGACACATATGAGACTCGTGTCAGTTTAGAATCTTCACAACTGTTGGATAGATTTGGGGAGATTTATCCTGTCAAGGCTGACACTGATGTACCGCCAAGTTGGTTGGGGTGGCTTGTCTCAGCTGCCAGGATGAGACCTGAGGTACATATAGTGTGGGTTTTCTTGAAACCCTGAACCGGACCAAAATTCTAGTATTGCCCTGAACCTTGGAGATAGATGGGCAAAACTGGAATGTTACACCTGACCCTTGGACTCGGATACGATACTG